TATATATATATATATATATATATATATATATATATATAGCTCTCTAAAGCAGGAACTTCTTGATATCCACCTTCTTCACCATGTTTTCTACGGACTTTTTCACGTACGCCGCGTCAATGACAAACGTCTCACCCTTCCTGTCAGGTCCATCGAAGCTGATTTCTTCAACAACTTTCTCTGTAATCGTGATGAGTCGACGTGCTCCGATGTTCTGCACAGTGGAGTTGATGTGAGCGGCAACATTGGCGATCTCCCAGAGGGCGTCATCCGTAAAGACAAGTTTGACTCCTTCCGTTTCCATCATGGCAATGTGCTGCTTGACAAGGTTGTACTTTGGCTCTGTTATGATGCGGTGAAAGTCCTCGCAGGTAAGTGGCTTCAGCTCCACACGAATGGGGAGACGCCCTTGAAGCTCTGCCAACATGTCGGAGGGTTTTACGCTATGAAACGCACCACTACAGATAAAGAGAATTTTATCCGTCTTTATCTGCACATTAAACTTGGTTGAGACGGTTGTGCCCTCAACAAGTGGGAGCAGGTCCTGCTGAACACCCTCCGCAGAGGCCTGGTGCCCCTTGTGCCCCCCAGAGGCCGTGACAATCTTGTCGATTTCGTCAATGACCACAATGCCGTCCTCTTCACACGCCCGCAACGCCTCCGCAGAGACATCCTCCGTGTCAACCAGCTTCTCAAGCTCCTCTTGCTGTACAGCAGGAAGGGCGTCCTTAATCTTTAGGATCTTCTTCACGGTCCGAGTCTGCGCAGCCCCCAACGCACCGGGGAGGTCAATGGCAATAAAAACGCCTTCACCTGCCGCCGTCTTTGGCTTGGGGGCCTTTTCCTGCAGCTCCACCATCACCTCGATGTCGTCCAGAGCACCGGAGCGAAGGTGCTCGCGAAACCCATCCGACACACCTGCCAATGCCTTCAAAATACGATCTTCGGCCTTCTGTCGAGCCACAGCCTCATTTTGCCGCATGAGATTGTGCTTTGTTTGCGTCAGAGACGCCTTGTAGAGGTCCTCAATGATGCTCTCAACATCTCGGCCGTGAAAACCCACCTCTGTAAACTTGGTCGCCTCCACCTTCACAAAGGGTGCATCCACAAGCTTTGCCAAACGCCGAGCAATTTCCGTCTTTCCAACGCCTGTCGGGCCTATCATGAGAATATTTTTTGGTGCAATTTCCTCTCGTATCTCCGGTTCCACTTGATGGCGTCGCCAGCGATTGCGCAGCGCCACTGCTACCGCCTTCTTCGCGTCGTTCTGGCCAATGATATAATTGTCGAGCTCCTGCATCAGCTCCCGCGGCCGCATGTTGCGAATGAGTGTCTGCCCCGGTGTCGAGATCGGCGGCGGCGGCGTCGATGGCGCGGCGGAGGCAGTGGCCGCGGCACTACAGAAGCGAACAGTGCCCGCGGCACCAATAACAACGGCGGCGGGCAACGACAATGCAGTCACACGGCGCATGCTGTTGCGCTCCCTCCCGTTTAATTCCTCTGTCTCCTGATGTTGATGTCTATGCAACTGCCACGACGTGTTAAGCTAAAATAAAACAAAAATAACGAAGGAAGGGTGTTGTGCTACACGTTACCGCCCCTGTTGCTGTTGTTGTTTTTGCTCTTGTTGCTGTCTTGCGTAGTCCTCCTTCTTGTCAACCTCACCTCGGCCTTTTTGTTCCGCTTCCCTTGTTACCGCTGTTGTTGCAAAAAAGCTCCCTACGCATGCACACAGCAAAGGGAGGAAGAGAAGGAAAAACGCACTTTATCACGCCCTCCAAACACACGCAAGAAAGAAAAAAGAAAAAAACACCGCACACAGACACACGCGCACGCAAATATCGCAAAAGGTTCGTCAAAACAACAAAGAACACTGCTACTCACACACTGAGTGCCCTCTCTCTCTCTCTCTCTCTCTCACACACACACACACACACTCACTATCTCTCTTTCCTCACGACTATACCGCGTTGATGAAGAGAAGATGTTGTCGCTTTCGCTTCAATGGGGCCACAGAGCGCAGTTTGTCTACCACACGCAGCAGACTTGTCGTGAGGATCCACCTCCGCCGTTCCATGATGCTAGCCGTGTACGTGTTGCGGGATCCCACCTGCAACTCTTCCTGAAGGACGTTGAAATACAACGCCGAGTACAACCCAAGGCCCTGAGGACTATACAGATTCTCAGTCAGTGGGTATCGCTCCATCATCTCCATCTGTCACGAAAAAAGACCTTCCACTTTGGGGGGAAGCTTCAGTCGATGAGTAAAGGCATACGATATAAACTTTGCCTGCGCTTCAAAGAGCAGAAACGGCGGCAACAATTCCTTTTGCATTCCCACAAAGGCAATGGAGGGATTATGGGCGTACAGTGTTCCAAGGTAGAGTCCATTGGTGACGGGTCGCCACTTTACCGGGGTTAGTTCCATGTGATGAACGAAGTTGTTCATCCTCCTTTTGAGGAAGTTGTAGCGGCGGCGGCCCCTCCAACACCTTTCGCATGTCATGATGCAAAAAATGGATAACGTGCGTTGTACCCGGTGACGCAAATCACCGCATCGACATTATCAACAAAAATACCACTTGAGCTTTCGTCCGCAGTATTGCCGGTACTCCTCCTTTCACGCGCCATGGAGCGGGTTTTCGCTTCATCTAGGCTATCGGTTGTCCGTTTAGGCTGCTCTGTAAATAACATACCGTGTCCCTCACTGCGAAGAGGGTGCCCAACGCCTGGCAACCTGCCCCAGCAGGCTACATTCCTAAACTGGATCCAGTTTGAGACAACACGGTTACCTTTTGTGATGTCGCCACGCCAGCTAGGTGTGCAGGAGAGTCGCTGCAAAGCCGCGCTCGCTGCATCACGCATGGCCCCACCTTGACGCATCGTCGCAGGAGAACATTGCGCGAGACCCTCTAATTGCTGCTGCTGCTGCATGTAGAGCGATTGGCAGCTGCTGTGGAACACATCCGAGCCACAGCGTAACAGTTCCCAGCAGTAGTCCCCATGCAGTGACGCCGTCACCCACCACCACAACACGTTTCCCCTTTAAACTGACGGAAATCCTTCACATGCGAGGTGTGATGTAATTCACCATCATCTTTCATGTAGGGTTGTAGGACTTCTTTTATCCCGCCCGGGTATCGCGGCTCCTGTGTTTGGCCGGTGCATACACACACCTTGTCAAACGACCACTCAAACACGTCATAATTCACAATATTGACCGTAATGATGCGCCACACGGCGTCCCGTTCGTCGTACCGAACGGACTGCACCTTCGTGTTGGGGCGCGAAAGTCCCCAAATGCCCATCTTCTCTGCATACTACTCCAAGTAACGTCATACAGACGAATGGTGCAGAAACTGCGGCACAGTGTAATCAAAACGCAGATCACTAAAACTCAGCAGGTCTTTTGGTAGTACACATCGCATCGTTGGGTGCACAGGCGACACGATTCCCCGTGAGGAAAAAGATCTGCGTGTGTCGCTGTTCCATATGCCGCCAGCTCGAAGCAAGTCACTAGCAAACCACTTCGATGCAGAGAGGTGCAGGCCGCCATCCCGGCGGCACCGCACCCAATCACCGCGCAGGACAACATCTTTGTCCGTCTGCCTCGCTTCTGCTTTCAGTTGCTGCCGGCGACTGCACGCGTGCGTACGCGTTAATTTTTTTGCTCGCTGCTTCCTGCAACTGTCACGGTCGTATTGGCTGAAACAAAGTGAAAATGAGAAAAATAAAATAAAAGGGAACGTGCAAAACAAAAAAAAGTATTGCAACACCCATGAAGGAGGGAGAGCAAACACCGCCCACACAACCCCCGGAAGGAGGCCCAGCAACCGCAAAAATCTTTACTTTTTTCTTTTTAGCCTCCAGAAGGGGCAGTGGAAATGTAAAGAAAAACAAAACACAGGCACAAACACCATATGGCACAGCGTCCACCGCCACTCTGTCGCTCTAGTTGCTCCACTGGCATCTTCTGGTGATGTTTTTGTTTTTGATTCACATTCCCCCCTTCCTTTTTGTTCTCTCTCTCTCTCTCTACATGAAAAGAAAAGCAACTCCAAAAAAACACTGCCGCCATCATACATCTCCCGCCGTCCTCCTGACTAGCAAAACTTTTCTCTCAAAGTACGATCCAACAGGCCGCGACTTCTTCGAAATGGCTGCGGCGGCCTCACGAAACAATTCAGGCGTCACTCCAATGAGACGCCGCAGCGTTGGCTGCTGCTCGTCCTCCAGTGTGGGCTGCGGTTGAATGTGGCGCACCCCCTTGCCGGCCGCACCAAACTTTTTGACCGCAATGCCCGTCACAAACGGCAGAAACAATGATTTTGTTCCTGTGACCGTCGTCGGAAGCGTCATGCCACAACTGACGTCAACATCCGGGAAGACAAAGGAAATTCGATGCCGAAAGCTCGGCTCCACACGGGGAAGCTCCGTCGTATTCACATAGTTATGGTCCGGGGCGGCGTAGAGTATCCACACCTCCACCTCACAGCCACTGGTCAGCGTCACCTCGCCGGTGTATGCGACAAGTTTGGATGAAAAGGGCAGAAATGCCAACAGGTCTCTCGTTCCTTCAGTTAACTGCCTTGACACCACCGCGACACCTGCAACATTTGCACACGACGGCATCACAACAAACTGTGTGATGCCCTCCGGAAGCTGATGCGTTAAAGGCGCGAGGAGTTTACACACTGACGGGGTAAAGTACTGACGGGGAAGTTGCGGCACCTGATCCGGAACAAACGTCACCAACACTTGATACGCCACAACAGGCAGAAAGAGTTCCTCAGAAATGACAGCTGTAAAAGGGTCCTGGCGTATATCCCTCGCCCCCACCACTACGCCATAATATCCCGCCTCTGGCACCATAAGTGTGAAGGTCTCGCAACTGGTGGTCTCTTCGCGCTGATGCCACACCCACTGAGGTCCTAGTGGCGTCGCCGTGCTAAGGTCCTCAGGCAAGGTCTCAAGTGTACCCTTGTAGATGAAACAGGTAAGCTCCACTCGCTCAGGTTTCTCGTTCACAAAACTAATGTAGAATGGTGTGGAGCGCACCGTGAAGAAGCATCGACGCCGATGTGAGCTCAAAGCCAATGGAAAACGAAAGAACGTGTGCGTCAGGCACGGGGCATCCTCCCAGACAACCTTCCGTGGAGGCGTCAGAAGCAACGTATCTAAACTCGCCTTTGGAAAATGTGTGGCGAAGAATTGTTGTGGATGCGTATTAAAGTAGAAACTTTCCATGCGCCTCGTCGCTAAACGAGACGACACCAAAGCTGGAGCATCAAGTGGGCTTCGTGCCGGCTTCTCGTTCGGAGTAAAAATAGGGCGATTGGACTTAGCGGGTGGCGTATCTTTTAAGTTGGGCTCCTTCAAGGCATCTATTTCCTCCACAGCGTCTTTACTCCGTGTAACGTGCCGTAGTGGGCCCGTGTAGGACGAGAGAGCAACGTCCACCAGGTACCGCTTCACGCTGTCCTCCTGCTGTGGGATAGACACGATATTCCACGCCCACTCAATGGTCTCCTCCGGCGCACGCCCTCGCACGTGACCCTCAACAACTTTACTTTCCACCTTAGCATAGTGCAGGCACTTTTGATACAAACGTGCCAACATAAGCGGGTCGGTGGTGCGTTCCTGCATGACCTTCACAAAAGGGTCTACAACCTCCACAGGGGCCATTGCAGGCTGCGCATCCGTCCCTGCTTTTCGTTTCAGGTTACGTGACGCTGCGTTGCCCTTTCCTCCAACTTCCTTCTTTGCCGCAGCGGCAGCCTCCTCCTCGGCCAAGGCAGCAGGGAAGTGTATCTCAACAGTGATGTTCTCGCACAACCAACAGTACAGCGCCCGTGCCTTTTTCATCGAGCACTGTGTCACGGACTGTCTCCATGTCACCCGCTGAAACGGCTCAACCACTTTCATCGTCATCTCTTCCAGTTTTGTTGACACATCCAACGGACCCACTGCGCGTGCTTGTGCGTCTGCCTCCTTCCGCTCCTCCTCGGCAATGCCCCACCCGGCATCTGCAACAGGGTCATCTCCATGCGCGAGAGCCTCGTGAAGCAGCGACAACGCGCCAGTAGGGCTGGGTGTACTTCCTGAGTCTGACAAGAACGACAGCTTCCGCCCCTTCGTCTCGGCTTCCATGGAAAAGCCAAAGTGGTGCAGGTAGTCGCCATAATACCGAAGCTGCAAGTCAAAGACAGATGGCCGAAAAGTTTTTTCAAAAGACTCGTAGAGAAACCGTCCAAACTTCTCCACTCGAGTCTCCTCCGTCTCCTCTACGGCTCCAGGCGAAGCTTTGGATTTCCTGCTCATGTGCCACTGCTGGCCCTCATGCTGCAACAAAAAAAGGGGAAGAGATCCGCGGTTTCATAACAGTAAGAAGAACATGATAGAGGAGTTCGTCACAAAGCTCCCCATGGCAACAAAAGAGCCAGAGAGATAAGAGAGTAGGGAGAACAAAAAACATATAAATTCAAAAGACAAAAGGAGAGAAAAAGAAGTAAAGGGGAGTTACACTCATAAAATCACTCCCCACCACCACCGCCATACTCGGTGCAACCACGCGAAGCAGTTGTTTTCCATCGTGCCTCTCTCCCCCATTTTACCGTTTTTATTGTTTATTCTATTTTTTTTTTTTTTCATTGGGTTGTTGTCACCGTTGTTGCTTCTTTTTTATTTTTGCATCTACAACTCTTTCCCCCCCCCCCCTGTCAGCGTTTATGCTCCGCCGTTCGCCGCCGCAGCTGCAGCCTCAAAAGGCGTGCGTGGGTTTCACCTACACCTCCAAGACAGAGGCGGGCGCAGCCGGCGGAAACACAAAACACAGAGGCAGACCCTGAGCGCCATCGGTGCTCTTTTTTTTTTTTTCTTGTTTTTCTCCTGCTCTCATATTTTTCGGTTGTTGCCCCACGATTTGCCTGCGGAAGTCGCACACAAAAACAAAAAACAAAAGGAATATTAAAGGCAGTATAGCTCCCCTTCTTGCCTTTCCACGGATGCTGTAGACGCTTGCCCATTTATTCCTACATCATCGTTTTTGGAATGACAATTATTCTGCAAGACACGCACAGATGCACAAGAACGAAAAAAAAAAAAACTGTACCTTCGACGACAAATGCATTTACCTACGGACGACTGCCCCTCCTCCCCTCACCCCCCCCCCCCCACGCACCGTCAGTGTGCAGACGCCCCGCTGCTCCCACGTCCGTGTCGCTGAGCTTGCACACGACAGTGAGTGAAAAAAAAAAAAAAAACAAGAACTGGCCGTCGCATGTATCCGGATGACGCGCTCGTGTACGCGTAAGAAGGAAGGAGTGGAAAGAGAACAGGAAGAATGAACAGCCCAAGTGAAAAGGCAGGAAAGAAAAAAAAAAGACACAGAAAGGGAGAAATAAAAGCATGTAGAAAAACAAAACAGTTCGAAGCAGAAAAAAAAAAACGACAACAACGACAGCATGGGTTAGGAGAAAAGCTTCACACCAAGTTTTCCCCTCCCTCCGTCGTCTAGCTTATTATCTATGCATAGAAACGTGCTTCTGTAACAGTGGGGAAAAACAAATCGGGCGAGCGGCGTCCTTCCCTGCAGCGTCAGACCGTCATCAAGGTTATACAGACGCAGCTCGTCCTGTTTCGGTTTCACCCTGAATGGGTTATCTTCGCGGGCAAAAAAAAGAAGGGTTCCCATATCACTCGCATTCGCTCAGGTGCTAGTATTTTTAACCACGCCATTCCCGCTTCGCTGCCCTCATTCAGCTTCCGGCATCCCCAAAACGGGTGTCACCCCCACGGGGGAATGTGAGTGCAACGATTGCGTTGCATGCCGTGCTTCAAAACACATGTACGCGTACATAACCACCTCAAATGAATAGATCTGTGTTGCCTTACTAATGACGCTTCGCAGCAAGTGGGGAGAGAGACCTTTGTAAAAGCCAACCAGACCATCAGCCCGATAAATATGCTGTATCGTGGGGAGGATGCGTGTGTGTTCACACTGACGTGTGATTTGATTAACGGTGCGCATATGATTCATGACAGCATTATAAGGGTATGCAACACCCACTGCCGTTAGCTTCGCAATCATCGACAAAGACAACACTGCCGCGGATGTCACAAAAAAGCTGTTTGCGTCTTGAAACGTCCCCTCCTTTGTGACACGCTTAAGCAGCTCATACACGGTCCAGAAGAGGCCCTCCTCCACGAAGCGCCCAAGTATGTTCGTTAAGGTGCCGCGGTAGAAGCCCACAAAGCCCTCGCGCCGCAAAACATCCCTAAATACTTCCCGTACACTCAGACGATCATCCACCTGCACGCGTGTGCGCACCAAAAAAAGTGGAGCAAGCGTGGAGTTTGTGACGCAAACACCACCAAAAGCACACAAGGCTGGCCTTATACGTTCATCCACGCCAAACTGCGTCATTTCCTCCTGCAAGAAGCGGTACGTCGGCAAATAGATGCCGTTGGAGGGAAGTGACGCCATCATGTTCGCCCAGAGACCACACGAGAAGGCGTGTCTGATGCCACCACCAAAAAGATCCTTCACGGTGTGTAAGAGACTTTTATGCGCCTTGCCGGTAGCACTTCGACTCGAAGAGAGGCGCACACGAATGGTGTCAAGCGGGTTCGTGACCACCGTCGAGCACACGCCAGCGAAGCTGCCGGCGAAGACAGAAACGGCATACTCCCGCTCCCTCCCCAGTGTGGGAGCTCTGGCGTCGTTGGGCATATCGGCTTCTAACACCAATAATAACAAAGTTTCCTGCAGCAACGCCCAAAGAAATTGGGTTTCACTGGACGTCGCAAAGGAGGGAAACGAGGGAGAGGCACAGGGAAAAATAAAATAAAAAAACAGCAAGTGTAGGATAATTTTCAAACAAGGCCCAAGAAGAACTGGCAGAGACCGCAACGGTGATTGTACCAGGAGCCATAATACGGAGCAGCACTCATTACGCATATACACAGGAGCAGAGAGAGAGAAAAACAAAACAAAAAAAAAACAAGCAAACCGCCTTCGTTTGTTTGTTTGTTTGTTTGTGTGTGTGTGCATTTTACTCCTTCCGATGTCGTTGCTCCCGCTGCTGACTCCTATCCATCATTAATCGTTTAACGAGACTTCTTTCTTTGCTTTGTTTTGTCACCCCCCTCCCCCCCCCCTGTCGTCGTTTCGCCTTTCACTCCCTCATTGCTGTTCGATTAGACGACGGTGCTGTTAATGGCGTGCCATGCGCTTCCCGTGGCGGGACTTCTTTTTGCTCTTAACCCCGTCGCGGTGTTTATAAGCGGCCTTGCCTCTCTTCTCACGGTTCTCCGCCCGTCTTTCCTTGCGTGCGTCACGAATCTTCTTTTTCTTCATCTTTTTGATTATGCCGCCCTGCAGTTTCTTCTCTGCCTTGCGTCGCAGATCACGATGGGCGTTCTTCACCTTTTCCTTAGCGCGTGCCTTCACGTCGCGCCCCTGCCGCCGTGCCAGTTTCTGCTTCTGCAGGAACTCCTTCTCCTCGCGGTGCCAGCTGCTCAGTTCGTTTTGGAAGTTATGGAGTGTCACCTCCGCCTCCTTCTCGTAGAGTCGCCGCGCCTCCTCCTCGCGCCGCTTTCGTTCCCCACGACTAAGGCACCACGTTTTCTTGGGCTGCGCCGTCACACTTTCGGCCAGCATCTCCACCGCGGATCGGCTATAGCGCCGCTCCGCCTGTGAAATCTTGGTCTCTAACGCCTCGGCCGCGATCTGACCCCGCACCTGCGGAAACACGGCGTCTATTTTTTTCGCCGCCTCTGAGAGCAACGCCGCCGGCACATCACGGCGCTTCACAGAAGACACCTGATGGTCATTCACAGCCCCGCTCACCGCAAGTATCTTTCTCATGATCTCTGCATCCCTTGACTCATCCACAAGCGAGACCGCCGTCCCGTTGCCCCCAATGCGGGCAGTACGACCAACGCGGTGAATGTACGCCGTGAGTGTCGGGGGCAGGTCAAAGTTCACGACGGTAGACACGCCCTTGATATCAAGCCCACGTGATGCCACATCTGTCGAAAAGAGGTACTGCACCTCGCCCGACGCAAACCTCTCCAGTGAAGCAAAGCGCTCCTCCTGTAGCTGATTGCCCTGCAGCTCCGCACTTGCGAAGCCCAACGCAGCAAAAAGAAGGTGCAAACGATGTGCGGTTGTGCGGTAGCGCGTGAAGACAAGCGTCTTGTCCCTGAAATATCCAAGACAGAGGGCTACCAAATAACGTGATTTTATCTTTGTAGTGTGCTCCGAAACCTCCTCCGCCTCATGCAAGCCCACAGCATCCGCTCTTGATGCGTCTCGAAGCCGCTTCGAACGAATACGCTTCTTCGCCCCCATCGTTTCTTCCTCATTCCCTTCTATTTCCCCTCTCTCCTCACTCTTATGACCCGACAACGGGTCTGCCGCCGCACTGGAAGGCAGTAGGATGCGTACAAACTGTTGTCGCAGCTTCGACTGAAGTGCAACATGCCCAACGTCCACATTTTTCGGTTCGAAGAGATGCTCCTTCGCAAACTCGTCCACCTCGCTCGTCATGGTTGCCGAGAACATTAACACTTGTCGGGTTTCCTCCGGGACGCGTTTGAGGATATCCACCACCTGGTCTTTGAGTGTTACGGTAAGCATCTTGTCGCATTCGTCAAGCACGACCATCTCCACACCAGAGACATCCAATGAGCCGTGTGCACCCTTGTAGTTGTGGAGCAAATCCACTAATCGCCCGGGAGTTGCGATGAGAATGTCAGGAATCGACTCCACTGCCGCTTCTTGAGCACTTTGCGCAATGCCCCCAATCGCCAAGGCCATAGTTAGCCCTGTCGTAGAGGCCAGTATTTGCTGAAGCATGTGTTGGCACTGCATGCCCAATTCTCGTGTCGGAAGCAAAATAATAGCCCTAATAAAACGTCGCTTTCCTCCCGAATGCAACTGCTTCTGAGGAGCGCGGGTCAACAGAATGTGCAGCAGCGGCAGGAGAAATGCTGCTGTCTTGCCTGACCCCGTCACCGCCCTTGCGCACACATCACTGCCGCCCAGAACTGCAGGAATGGCCTGCACCTGCACAGGGGTCGGGGAAAGAAACCCTATATGTGTGACGGCCCGCACAAGCGCTTTACAGAGGCCTAGTTCAATCCACATGATCTGATCCTGTGTCTGTGTGCCGGCTCCGTTATTGTTCTTCCGGCCACCACTACCACCGTCCACAGGGATCATCTCGCCGGGCATGATTTCCTCCCTCACCTCCTTGGGCGTCGTCGCAGTCTCGCTAGTGGCCTTTACACCCGTCAAGCCAAAGAAAAACGCCGAGGCACCTTCCGTCATAACCTCTCCACTCGGCACATTGACCCCGTCCATGCTCCCACCCGCACCTGTGTACGGCCTCTTGAAGTTATTCCCTCTGACGTCGTGTGCATTGCTTTTTTTGTTGCCGAAAGAACGGTTTCGCGGGCCCGAGTGTACCACCCGCATTCAGCACAAACCAGAGAGAAGAAAAAAATAAATAAACCTCCCCAGAGTTTTTTCCTTGTTTTTTTTACTCTTTCCTTGCTAGACCCTGGTCCTTCTTGCTTTTCTACCTCACCTTCCTTGCCGCACAACTCTGTGGGGAGCCGTGTCGTCCGTAGCGGGGAGCAACTCTGCCTGGTTATTGTTCACCCACAAAAGAGAGAAAAGTGGCGAGTAAAAAGAAAAAGAAGAGCAACATGTAAAAAAAAAAAACATTGTGATACTTCACACAGGTCCGCAGCGTTCATATTCCTCGTATTCGCTTGAACCACGGCTTGGGTAGCCTCGATGTGTGTGTGTGTGTGTGTATGTATTTGTGGGTCCACATAGTTGACGTCCACAAATGATATATAGAGGAAGGAGACAAAATAAACACACAAATAAAAGAAGTACAACACAAAGAATCAGCAAGAGAGGTGGAACTTGGCACAAGCACAAACACACAGGCACACATATATATTGTACGCATGCATGCATGCAGATTACCTCGTTGTAAGGAAACCTAAAAGAGAGTAAGCCAAAGCAAATTAGAAATAATAATAATAATAATAATAGATCCACGTACGCACACACCTGCAAACAAACATGATAAAAAAGAAATATTTGATGTCCCAACATAACGGCCTCCGCCAGTTATATTTTTCTGTCTGTGCGTCCACGTTTTCCCATCACATATACATTCTATATTCCTTATTTCCGGCACTCTTTCCTTATTCTGCAGGGATCTCTGCAAGGCCCCACGCTACTCCACCTCAACCTGCATCGACAGCACACACAAATATATGCACGTGCACGTGTCTCTGGGCATGCATGTGCCCAGAAATTGAAAGCTTAAAAAAAAAAACAAGTTGTCAAACAAAAAACAAAAAACAAAACAAAAAAAAACAAAACAAAAAAAAAAAACAACAACAACAAAAAACATGATACGCGGAAGCAGGTCCACATGAAAACACAGATCAGTTCCCATCCCTTTCCTCTATTATTTACCCAATTGGCTTACAGACACTCTCACCCACACCTTTGTCAGGGATCTCATTCCTAGTTTGCCCACTTTATTCCTCCTCTCTCTCTCTCTCCATGCACGACTAATGCTGCGTATCGCTCCCCCACACGTTCCATATAGCTTTTCCTCCCGTGCCTCAATGGTACCTGATGATATTGTTACCAAAGTCAAATCAGCTTCATCGGGCAAATACAGGTTCAAAAAGCGTGTTTAACAACTATATAAAAAAAGTTGCCCATATTATATTGTGTCCAGATGCACAAAAACAGCTCATAACACAAGTTCTTTTGAATTGGGAGTAAAAAACTAATAAACCTTGTTTTTGAGTGTTTGCTTTTTTTTGGTTTTGTCCTTCAGCGAGACTGCGCGTGAGAAATATGTAATTTCCTTTTAAGCTCTGAGTCCCTCTACCTCTTCAGTTTAAATGAAAAAAAAAATTTGCCCAAAGTATTTCCATAGTATTATATTATTCTCTTTATTCATACTGCGTGGAGATAGCATATGGGTTGTGTCGATACATAACAGGGGCCTCTGTGGAGCAGCTGGCAAAGAATTTGCTAGAGCACCGTGGCCGACTTGCACCCCTTGGCGGGGTGGGCACAAATGTTGGAACCTCAGAATCCCCCAGTCGAGTTACCGGGGTTGTTGCCTCACACTGCTCAAAACCAACCACCCGCGAATCCGTCCAACACGGAAGCGAAACAATAACTGGTTGCCGCCGAAAGGAAGTCACAATGGGGAAGACAGAATTGAGAGAACTCTTCATGGTCATCGCGCTGCATCGTGTCGCGGCAGGAAGAGCGGCGGCGTCAAGTCGTTGCAGACCTGTAGTCTTCAGCAGTTCTACATTGTGCTCTTCTGTATGAAGCTCATGTTCACCGTGAGCAAAGGCACAACGAGTCCCAAAGGGGCATTTATCCTGGCGCATGTAAAACTCGCAAAGAGCTGTTCGGAACTTGGAAGGCTTGATTTCTGCATGCTTGTTTGCTTTGGGCATTCTCCGTTGTGTCGTATCCTTCCTTTCCCTATTTTACCTTTTCCCCTCTACGCTTTTATTGGTCTTCAAAAAAAAAAAAACGAACAAAGAGTCCCTTTCTTCAATGCAAGCTTGTGTGAGTTTCTTGAGCTATTCTGTGTTCTACCTGCCTTTCACTAGTAGGTTATTTTTTGTATTTGTTTCGCGGCTCTCCTTTTCCTGTGCGGTTGCGGTTGTTACTGCTGCAAGTCACGTTCTGTCGCCTGCTTGCTGCGTTTTTTCCCTGAAGCGCAAATTGTGCTCAAGGAACTATTGTGCATGCGATGGAGACAAAGGTAATTGCACCCAAAAAAAAAAGTCAAGAAAGAAGAGAATAAGTACAAGCAACGAGGCGGAAAAGAGTGGTATTTCAAATAAGAATAAACAAACTACGCACAAAATTCTGATATCCAAGTCCAAGTCAGAGAAAACATGCACATACAAAAACAAAGTCAATAAAACAAGTTAAACTACCCGCAGTGCCTCCAAATGAACATAAACTCAGTGTCCAACACTCTTTTTTTTTGCCGCCATTACTGTTGTTCTTTCCCCAGTTTGTATGTCTGTTTGTTTTTTACTCAGTTCCGTCTAGTATTTAACAGTTAGATGTCACAAGAGTAAAGGAAAGGGACCTCTTCATGCACAGAGATTCGACAAATAAGCCCAAGGAAAAGAAGAAGGAAGGGGGGGGGAGGGTACGACGACACCTCGAATTTAATTTTTATGCTGCCAGGCCCGTCTCACTGTTGTTTCTTCACAATATAAAAAGGAAAATGAAAAATGCAACGCAAAAGTGTATTCAAAAATACACCAACTCAAAAGTAAGAATGAGATGGGGTTCATTTCTAGCAGAAACCATTTCTTCATTGTCCATGTGGTTTGGTTGCCAGCTGCAACGCACAAAGAAGAGGGTCCATAATAAAGTAGAAGTGCATCCTTTGCATTTCATTTTTCACATATAGAGCACTGAATTAAAGTCAATAAATAAAATACAGAGAAAATCCAAAGTGCCCATATACAATAGTGACCGGTGCAGTGTGAAACTAAGCATAAGTCAATAACACTTCCGCATCGATAGCATTTAGATGCAGTAATCAAAACAGCACTGTATGCTGGTGTTGGTGTTGCTATTTTCTTTATTAGTTTGCACTGGAGAAAAGTGGGGTTAGTTCAACCATAATCTCGCAAAATTTGGCAATTTTAAAATTAGGTGAACTACTGAAAAACGATATTCCAAGCTGATATACATAAAACATAAAAAATCACTGGACAGAACCACATAACGCTCAGAAAACAACTGAAGCGTACAGTGGCCACAACGGCGATAATGATTTGCCGGTAAAAATCCCTGACTCCTGGTTACTCCCCCGTTGCTACTGTTAACAGTAGTGTTAGCACTTTCGCCACTCTCAGAAGTCAAATCTCTTTGAGGTCCATTAAATACCTCACATGTACAATTCCGCTCTTCCATTGAGTTCTGAATCACTCCTTGATGTCACCCCCTCTGTACATATCGTACACCTTCTTTCATAGAGCTTATTCTTCGTTAGGTCTTTGGTGTCAGCATCAGTACCATTAGTCTTCATCAATTTTGTAGCTGCAGTAGTATTATTATTAAAAGAAAAAGAATATTCGATGCCGCTCCAACAGTCATTGGAAAACCTCATTGGTACCCAATATCAGCTTGTTATGATTTCATCAAATGAGAACAATTGTGAGTCATACCTTTTGTCTGATATTTTCCACATCTCTTCTTCAGGAAGTAGTATGTTGAATGATTCGTTCTGGTTTCGTAACCCACCCTTGATAAGTTCATTCCACTCCAACACTCCCGCAACGCCTATCGTCTTATCATCCACATTTGTCGCCACAGCAGATCCACGAGACATGAGATAAATAATATGGCTCATCTTACTATCGGTACCGTCATCTTTGTTGCTGCCCTTGCCACTTCCAAAAAATCCACACCTAGGCATTGATCATGAACATGTCGCAACTCTCGAAGCGACGCTCATTCTTGTTCCTTATACAAGAGAATGGTGTTCGTCGGAACAATTCCCTAAAATGGTGTCATCGGTACAGACACCATTCTTGAAAACACATTATTGTAGGCGAAATATGGACAATCATAATGACTTTCATCACCTCCAAAATCAGTGCCACAATTGGCACCCGAGAACGCGCTATAAACAAGCAATGATGAATCCATGGGAACTATCACGTCTTTCATTTCAGTAACCGATGTTGGGTTAAGGGGTAACAAGCAGAGAACATCTGCCGCCTGTGATCCCTCAGCGGTAACACACGTGACGCAAGCTGCCCCCAAATAAGGAGAAAGGAAGGAGCGAAAAGTTGGTATTGTTCTCAAACATGGCAACAGTAACGCGCCTTGAGGCAAACAAGAATATTGCGTCGAGCATTCCATATTCTCCATCCTCGTAAAAAAAAAGTGTTGTTCGATAAATATACTTCCCCTGCGTTTCGTTTTTTGGTCTCGTGTGCCCCAACTGTCCTCAACTTCCCATATTGCGTTTAATTGAACAGTATTGGTTTTTCAAGACATTTTTTTGTTGACTTTGCTTTTAGGCAGAGCATTCTTCCTGTCCGCACAATCGATTGCAGTCGTAAAGGTCTTTTATCGTGGCATCACTTTTCTCTGGCTTTGTAGGTGCTGATCATGTTCCCTTCAACGAAAATGTTCCAATATTACACCTTCACTGGTGTCTCTCGGTTGTACTCTCCACAGACAAGGACAGCTCTTTGCTGGCAATCCCAACGACCTCATTCTCGGCACACAATAGAACAACGTCACTGTACACCGCCACCACAGGATTACTAAATCCGGTACCTCTGTCCCGCTTTGTACATATTTGGTTCTTCTTAATCTTCATATTCTCAGCTTCGCTACGCAGCTCTTCGGCCCCATGAGCAAAAGCGCAGCGATCTCCAAAGGGACATCCGATGGGGTTGGTGTAAAATGTGCAATAGAGGTCTTAAATTTAGATAACTTCACTATACCACGTTTTCGGCTACTCCCCATTTTATTCGTTGTGTAATTATCTGCTACGCAAGTTTCTATAATTTCTCCTTTTTGCTCCCCCCTTACCTTCTCGTTTAAATTTGTTTTTCTTCGTATTAAAGGGGCAACCACCCTCTACAGTAGTAACAGAAGACAAATAAATAAAATGTTCCTGGAGCTACAGCCCCCTTTATATTACAAAGTAAAAAATCGAGATAAGAAAAAGAAAACAATGGAACTAGAGCCCTCAAAAAAATATAGGCTTCCACGGCAGTCTAATGTCATTTTGACAATCTCTCACCTGCCATTAATTTACTAATACATACGTTTTTTCAACCCCATTAGAAGATGAATAACCAGCTACCCATTTAATACAACGTCCATGCTCCCAAGCCATGTCCTCTCATAAATTCGTTTGCCCCCCCTTTCCTATTCATTCTCAAGAAAAAAGAAAATAACACGTCACCCCCCTGCCACAGGCATCGTTTCAGAGAGCAAAGAACGCGAGCGTGGCAAAGCCCTTGAAATAGCAAATAGCCTCCGTGGCTCTCCGAAGAACAGGTAAATAGGTCTCTGTAACCCCCCGCCGCCTGACTCCCACAAAAAGCCGCACCCGAAGCAAGGAGGAATAAATTGTCACGCCCAAGCCGCCTCCAGAACACGCCACCCCCCAGCTGCGCGTCTTACAAAAACGAAAGGGAACCCGCAGAAAACGAAGGAGATGGGTCGTTCCTGAAGGCCCCAGCGCCGTCGCCCCTCGCGTCGCGGCGAAATAGGCGAAGCTAACTCTGGGGCCATGGTGCACAAAAAGAAAGGGGCTGGGTTGGGTTTCTTTATTGAGTTTTGGGGCCCAGTTTGTGTTGTTCTCTGGATGGGCGGGGTTGTTCTCTTTTTACAACAAAATGCGCTGGTATTTTTGCGTTTATTTATTTATTGTTAATGCTATTTAGCTCGTTGCTCGGTTAAGTGTTTGGTTCTCCTCTTGTATTGCGGTGTTCTTACTACTGCTGAACTTTTTTAAAAATTATTATTATCGGCTTCTCTTTTTTCTTCATAGTAAAGAGAATATCTGAGATTCAAATTTTTATACGGGAGCTTGTAGTTAATGGAGGGACATACAGCGTGTGTCTTTGGTTCATCTTTGGTCATATTTGGTGGAAACAACGACGTTAATTCCAGTCATGAGGGGCGTTATTGTAACAAAGTGCGGCTAGTACATGATGTGTCATTGCTTATTAATCGTAATTATAATTGGTACCAACTGCAGTTGATGCCTGCAGCACCTTCGCCTCGTGGTCGTGCGCATCACACAGCTTTTATATACAACGAAAAATATATGGTGGTTGTCGGTGGTATGATGGAAGCACCTGATGAACAGCCAAACTCCATGCGCTTTGTAGATATTCTTGATTTGGGGATTCAACGATGGTATCAAGCAATTTCCAAAGGTGATCAGCCCATCAGTCGCATTCATTATGCAAGTGCTGTTGTTAACGGGGAGTTGTATATTCATGGGGGATATCTCCTTTGTGTGGATATTCATGGCGTACCTAAGGACTTATCTTATCATCAGCTACTAAGCATGGGGAATCTACTTTTTGATACTTTTGTTCTTAATTTAGAATCAATGATTTGGCGTCGTGTTACATCAACGGATGTTGCTAGACCTTTATTATGGGGTCATTCAGGTGTAGTATTTCGGGATAATATTCTGCTCTTTGGTGGGTTGGACACTTCAAAGGGAAAGGAGGTTGGGGACTTAGTCTTGTGGGATGTACGAAAGAAGTCCTGGCGCTGGGTTGACTGCATCTCTTGTCTTCCATCAGCGATGCACAAAGCTGTGGTGATTGGAATGCACGATAACAATAATATGGAACCAACACGTATGCTTGTTTTTGGAGGGATTCAATTTTTGACTCAAGAGACAATTTTGGAATTAAGGGAATTTGATTTTGAAAACGGGCAGTGGAATATTTTGCCTTCTAAGGGTGACATTCCCGCGGGTAGAATTGGGCATGTTCTTCTTTCATACATGAGTGATAAGGTGCTATTGCTTGGTGGTGTCATTGGGTCCCCAAATGGCCCCGTTCAAGACAGCAATCTATATATTTATGATGTACCGACGCAAGAATGGATAAAGATATTTTTGTATGAAGGTGAGAAACTGTCTACTAAGGGTGAAACTCACATTCATCCTAAGCCATTTACTACAGATAGTTATACCCGTTTTGAAGAAAAACTTAATGAGTTACAAGTTGATCAATCTAACAAAAATAGGTGTTTTGAGTCGATAATGGCAGGGAGAAGCACACACTTGTTTGAAGAACGATTAGCAAACTTTAGGAAGTCCAAAGAAATGATGTATCAATCATTTCCAGATGAAAAAGAGAAGGATTCTCATCAAGGAGCTTTGGGAAGCAGAGAGTTGGAATTTGACTTATACGATGCTCCACCACCTCTCCCATCTGCTGCTTATGTTATTTCAACAGATCGTAATCAGGGATTTGGTGAGGTTGCAGAAATTCAAAAAAAAATTGATGAAAAGCTGACAGGACATATGAACTATGATCGAAATAATAAATGGGATTTTAATGATGTGGAGAATGCTTCAAATATATCTGAGGAGCAACATTTCGGCGGTCCTTTTAAGCTCATGAATATTAGTTTTTTTGAAGGGGAGAAAAGTACATCTTTGGAGGAGTCAGGAAAGATCTTTGCCACAAACACTTTATCATATCTTTCCTCCCCATTTCTCAAAAAATTAATGAACTCGGTTCTTCGGCAAGAAGCGTCGGAGGGATTGCCGGATCATATTAATAATGGTCAGTCATTAAAGGATCCCTTTAGCTACCTAAGGCCAACAGAGTCTGTCTTGCGTTGGCGTCATGCCTCTCCTGCACCTTGAAAAAGGAAAAAAAAGTATATTATTACTATCATTATTTCTATCGTTGCCTATTTATTCTTAGCAACGGGGAGGAGTTATATAGAGTGAGTTTTGTGGTCTTACTTTCACTATATATATTGCCTGAATAAACATAGATTATCGTTTATAATTCATTATCAATTTCGTTTGTCAAATCGACCTAGGAAATAGTTAAAACTTTTTTTTTAAAACTATACGGAGTTACAAGTATAGTTTTTTTTTTTCACTGTTATTATTATTATTAGTTATTTCTATTATTGTGACACGTAAGTTATTTTGTCCGTTTATAATTGTGGCATTCATGTATGCATTGTTTTTGTTCCAGTTACGGTGGGAAAAAAATTTATTGTAAGTTGTGATGTAATATATATATTTATATATATATTCATTATTTTGTTTCTGTCATTAAGTTACTGAAGTATATGCCTCCCCACCCCACACCAAAAAAAAAAAACGTGGAGATTAACTTGCTTGTTGTTTGTTGTTGATTTTTTTTTCTTATTATTATTTGTTCGTTTTTTAAGCCCCGGATTCATGGTTTTGGGAAAAGGCCCTCCGTTTAGACTAACACTCCATCTCTGCATAGCTGATGTAAAAGCTGCGCTAGCTGTCCCTCTCTCCATTACAGCCACTGTCGCCGACAATGAGTTACAGCATTGTTTGGATTTTTGTGTTCCCTCTGGTCCCGAAGTTGAGGCGTTAGAAATTACTAATGTGGAATTTCTTTTTCAGACCGAAGCACCAAAAGGCAATTTACGTAAATCATGCCGAACTGCTTCATGTGGTGGCCTTCAGGGCTACTTATTTATGCAGCTACTTGACCACGAGGCTCATCCCAGTGGTCATCCATTTGCTATTGTTTGCTGTGATACAGAAATGGGAAATGGGATTTATTCTCGCGTGAAGCTTCCCCTACCGGGCGGCCAGTCTGTTCGCTTCTACTTGGTGGAAAGAAAAAAACAGGGTGAGGAAAAGATTGGGATTAACTCACGGATTGTAGGTGTTCGTTTTACTGGGATGTTGCGGCTCTCCTCAGGTGGAGTTGGGGTTAAGTCGGGCGAGACTAGAAAACAGATTCAAGCTTTGACAGAAACCAGCTTGACGTTTCGGGCGGATAGTTGCGGAAGAAACATGTTGACCTCAACGGGATCCCGGTATTCTCCATCCTCTCATTGTCAAGAAGGTGAAAAGTCTGCAAAAGGTAGATTGCGAAGTGATGAAGGGGAACCGACGCCAACAGAATCTGTAAATGGGGATGCAGATGAGGAACCTCCGAATCTTATTTATGCTTTTGTTTCTGGTGGAGATTATGAAAGCTGATGATCAGAAGAAGATGAGTACGAAAAATCGCCGTAATATGTCCATGGTTACAGTGCAGCTAAAAAAAAAAGGATTAGGCGACTACTACCTTGCACTCGCTGTGCGCTTCCTCTTAATTTGCCCGCTTCCCTTCCTTTTAATTTTGTTATTCCTGTGATTATTATAATTATTGTTATTTCAACTATTGCCATTATTTCCCTTTTAACCTTTTTTTTGTCTTTATTTTAACAATCGGCTTTGTTTTATGTATGTATGTGAAGGCGGTCTTACTATTCTGTTGATATAATATTCTCCACATGATTTTGTTGTGTTAAGCTTTGAATATTATTGTTATTACTTCACATACACACAAGATTAAAATAAGATAAAACGTGATTAACAAAAGCAAAAAAAAAACGTCATTAACATCGGCAGAATAGTACAAAAATGAGAAGAGCTCTACAACAAACTCAGTTGGATCAGACAACTGAACTTGCGAACTGCTCGTTAAGCACACTGCCCACAGAGACCATTTCTGTGCATGAAGAAAATGATGTGTTATACCGTCTTCTCGAACTCTTGCCTGAGAAGTATATGTCTACAAGTCCCCATGAGCAGCGAATTCCTGAGGCTCTTATCCTTCGTATTATCCGTGAGGCATATACTATTATTACGAGTGAACCAGTTGTCGTGCAAATTGAGTCCCCTGTGTGTATATGTGGCGATTTGCATGGGCAGTACTACGATCTTGTAAATATTTTTAGCCGAAGACCACCTTTGGGAGGGAAAGTTTTGGGGCTAGCGAATCACGCTGGACCGGCCCTACGACATAAAAGGAATCGAAGTTGTAGCGAAGATGCTTCAGCTTCGCATCACGGTGAATTGAAATCTACTGATGGTCCATACGATAGATATCTTTTTTTGGGTGATTATGTTGATCGTGGGAGTCGTTCTATCGAAGTTGTGGTTACATTGTTGGCATTGAAGATCATAGAGCCGTCACAAATAACTCTTTTACGTGGAAATCATGAAGATGAGCAAATTATGCTTCTTTATGGGTTTTTTGATGAATGCAAAAGACGATATGGGGTGAGACTATTTCGCATCTTCACCGATTTATTTCGCGTATTGCCCGTTGCTGCCGTTGTTAATGGCACCATTTTTTGTATGCACGGTGGGCTTTCGCCGGAGTTAAAATATGTAAAGGAAGTACCAGATGTGCGCCCGTGCAATGTACCACATAGTGGTATCATTTGCGATTTACTGTGGTCCGATCCAGAGGCTGAGCTTCCGCCAAATGTTGATTGGGCACCAAGTACCCGTCGAATATCTTCTGTCTTTTCAGCCAAAGCGCTGGACAAGTTTCTTAAAGAAAACAATTTGGATATGGTTTGCCGGGCCCACCAAGTTGTAGAGGAGGGTTTTCAATTTTTCCCCAGCAACACGAAGCGTCATCTACTCACAATATTCTCGGCAACAAACTATTGTAACGAGTTTGGAAACCGTGGTGGAGTGTTGTGTGTGGACAAGGACGGGGTGTGTAGCATTTTAATTCTGGAACCCCCGAATTTTCATCAACAGCGAATCATAATGATGAAGCGTGAAGCCTTACCCAATACCCAACAAGGTCCGTGGGATATAGATGGATAATAAAGGGGGAATTGAAGGGGAACAGCGAAAATAAAAGTTTTTTTTTTTGACCAGTTTTGCTTCTTTGCGCATGAAGATGCTGCAATCCGTTTATCGGTTACTCTCCACTGCAGTTTATTCTGCACTACCACTTCCCGTTGATTTGCTATATATATATATATAATAAATTTTCATGTTGATTATTATTGTTGTTTCATTTGTTTTTTTTTTTTTTCTTTCTACCGCATTTTTGTTTAAACCGCACATGTGTTTGTGTGCGCTCTCCCATTCAGAAAGGAATTATTTTTTTTTTTGTTATATATCTGTGGAGGATATATATATATATATAGGAGTGTGGAGTCTTCCACACTTTGGATTTGGTGGTGACCTCATCGATATTTTAGCGTAGGAATATTGTTTTTATTTCCTTGACGAGTCCAGTCATCACTGCTGAAGTAGGACTTTTTCTGGCGGTATCATCTCCGCATTCGTACCGCCCAATAGCATGACCGGACACACAATTTTTAAAGATGTTTTGGTTCCGCGTGACCCTGGATGTCTAAGCGCCGCCAAAATCCAGAATGAATCATGTTGTGCCATAATGCACGACCGCGCCCTGCATACATCTGTGTTGGTTCTGAAAGGTGGTCTTGCGCATGCGCGTGTAGAAATACCCTGTGAATGTCATCAATTGTTATCCAATAAGTTTCCTCAATTATTAATAATTCTACAAACGTGCCTTGGTTCCTTTGACTCCTTTGCTTTGGAGGTGGCGATGCACGTCTGTAGTTCGCTTCGTGTGGAACTCACCATTGGAACTCAATTCAGCAAGGCAACGGTGGAAGACGCAAACAGGGAGGTTGTTGCTTCTAAAATGCCCTTGATTATTCCCCGTAATCGCTGGGTGCAGGTTGTCTTTCATGTTTCAGGTATTTTGACACATCTTCTTAATTTATCACCTATTCAATCCTTGGACTCCATAGCATTAAGCGGGACCTGCAAAACTTCGCGACTCACTGTATGCAACGACGAGGCCGAAGCCATTAATCTGGCACCCGGTGACATGGCTCTTTTTGCCGTTCCAGCGTATGCCCCACCGATTTGGCAAACCGCTGCAGTTACTGCCGCTCCAGCAGTTGTGAATGCAAGCAGAACACCTAGCGGGAGCAACATTGTCGCGAACTCAAATGGAACTCGTCTACCTGTCGTCGGAGAGACAACGATGGAGCGGCAACGCACTCCAATTGTGCAACAGGACGGCACACTGAAGCGTAATCTTCAGTCACCACCGCTCGAACATCCCTCGCCAATGTCAGGGATGTCACCCACAAGTCAGCCTTCGTTTCTGTGCGAAACAATGCAAGAGAAACTGGGTATGGCAACAAAACATAGGTGTTTAGATGCGTCAACATCAACGTTTTCGCCACCGCTGCCACCGCAGCAACGGCAGCGCGCGCCTTCGTCACCGCAGGCATTCCAGCCGAAGCATAATCAAAAACAGGCGGAGTTCAGCTCAACCAATGGGAATGGTTCATACATACGTTTAGTGAATCAGACAAATCGTCTACAGCAGCGGAATAACAATGCATTTACTCGCATCCGGTCAAATAATTCAGTGCCAAAAGAATCAGCTGTGGGCGGACGTTTAACGCCGGCATTAGTAACAACGGCAAACGTAGCTGCACCCACCTGCTGTAGTAGCGCAGACGCGTGGTGTGGCATTACAGGCTGGGAAGAAGCCATAGATCCCCTAGGCGGTGTGAACACATCCTCTTTAGGTGGAGTGGAGTTTGCTGGCCAAAGTTTGCTGCAGTCCAATCAGGCTTCAGTGGGTGAACGGGGTGCGACAGGAGTGAACAATAAACCAAACAAAGCTGTGGACGTGCAACGCTCCAAAATGCAGCAACCCAAAAAAATGACGGAGGCGCGAAAGCGTGCTGTTGCCGTTTCTGGCAGGTGTCGAAGGGGAGGTGGTAATAGAGGGACAGACTTTCAAGGTTTTTTAGATGGCGACACGGGCAGAGGCACTACGCATGCTGCGAAACGACGAGACCTTGCTTTGCGGCAGTCACACGTGCGCGAACGTATAAAATTACTCAAGGAAGCACAATTAAGTGCACGTCGCATACACGAGATGAAGAAGCTTGCAGCGTCTGAGCTGCCCATAGATCCTCTGGAGGAGGCACAAATGATGGTGGAGGGTGAGGTTGTAGATGTAATGAAGGAGCCCCGCTGCGGCTACGGATTTGGGTACCTGGGTGTCCTGCGTGAAGGTGGTGGCTTTGAGACGGATGAGGGCGTGGACACCAAGCTGAAGGGCGCGCTGACACTAGCACTCTCAGAGTTGTCTGAGGAGGAGGATGAGGGGGACTAAGTGTGTGTGTGTGTGTGTGTGAGGCTACATGGTGGAGATTAGCAGTGCGAAGCGATGCAAGAGAAGTGGGTCGGTGGTATGCCTCTAACAGAGAATGGACCTTGACACCGGAGGGCACGGAAAACGAGGACAAAAAGGGAACAATAGCAAGAACACAGGCAAACGCTCAAAGGAGAGGGAAAAGAGGTGGACCGAGAAATTGAAGAGTACCTGGAAGGAGTTTTAAGAAAAAAAGAAAAAAAAGGATCCCATCTTTTCTTTTTCGTCCTTCACCCTCCTCAAACTATTAATGGGTGCTGTTTATCTTACACTCTTTCCTTAATGTTTATGTATGTATTGGAGATGTGTGGAAATAAGGTGTGATCAGCTGGGGCTCAGTGGATGATGAAAGCGCGTCGTGTTTAAATCCCTTGTGTATTTATCCATTACTTGGTGCTGTTTCTGAAGATGCCGCGGCGGAGGGCAGCAGGTGCCGTTTTTTTTTTTTTTATTGTTTTCACTATTTTACTGTCCCCCCCCCCCCCCCCCCAATCAGTCTATCTTTGCCAGTAACTTCCATGCGGAGGTGGGTCCGGAGCTAGCGGGGCCCTAAATACTGCCATTTTGCTAGTCGTGAAAAAACACCTGGTCATCAACAAAGTGCCTTTTGTGTGTTTTTTTTTTTGGTGTCTGTGTCTTGTTTTATTTCTGCTGACGAGGTTGGATTTCATTTAGCTTCCCGTTTTCAATGCATGCAAAAATGCACAAGAATCTATGCTTACGTGTGTGTTTCCTTGAGACCTCATCTTTTTTTTTTTTTGCCCCATTGAGAACAGCTACTTACAGGCTTTCTCATACAATTCCTTCTCTGAATACGGACACACGCATGTCCTTTCTATGCATGTAAACTGACGGCGTTGTTTTTGTATCTCTTATTATGCGGTGTTGTTTTCTCTGGTGTTTCTCGGTGTGGGCGTGCGGGTGCATGCATGGCCCATCGAGTGGTCGTTGCCCACTTGCTGCGTTTTGTGTGTGTGTGCTTGTGGGATTAGTTTTGAGTCTCTGAATTCACATGTGTGTCTTTTGTTGTGCAGGGCGTGTATGCTTCCGCCTTTCATGCTCCAATGTGCTGCCTTGGGGAAAGGAATGAACGCGGGGCGAATTCGTGTATACGTGTGTGCCCCGTTGTCCCTTCGCACCACACTGACTCAGGTATTTGTCTCACCATCGCTACGGTTTCGGTGGGACCTTCACCTTTATCCTCTTGTTTGGTTGTGTGTGCGTGTTGTTTTTGGTGGTGGTAGGTTGTTTTTTTTTTTGTATTTGCTCTGATTTTATATATCTGCTAAAGCAGCAGCTGTGGCTCAGACGCTTGTGGAGCGCACCCAAACGTGTGGGTGAGTGAGTGAGTGTTCACTTGCACGCCTTGGTTTTTCCACACGGCGGTGCTGCTAGTGTTTACTGCAGCGCTGCGTGCACCTGAGGTGTTGGATAGATGCGCTGGTGTTGCGCTGTCTCCTCACATGTTTTTGCTTGGACTATCCCTCGCGTTTTCTCCCCACCCTGCTTTGTGTTCAACGCACCGCATTACCGAAGAAAAGAGTGAAGTTGCCCCAAATGGTGTTGCCCTCCCGCCAGAAGGTAGACCGCCGCTCCCGTAAGGGCAGCAAGAAGCACCGCCCCGAGATTATTGTCGTGGACCTCAAGGATCACGTGCTGGGGCGCGCCGCCGCCATCGTCGCCAAGCAGCTTCTGCTTGGCAAGAAGATCACGGCTGTACGTTGCGAGCAGCTGACAATTGCGGGGACGGAGATCCGCAACAAGATCAAGTATCTGCAGTTCCTCCGCAAGCGGAAGCTGTCAAACCCAAAGCTTGGTCCCTTTCACCACCGCAGCCCCTCTGACATCTTCCTGCGTACGGTGCGGTCCATGCTGCCCCGCTACACGAAGCGCGGTCAGAAGGCGCTGCGCCAGCTTGTGGCGTACGAGGGTGTTCCCACGAACGTTGTGCGCACTGGTGGTCGCGTGGTGATCCCCAAGGCTCAGCGTCACTACTGCTACCGCGGTGAGCGTCCTTACACGGTGCTGGGTAACATGTGCAAGCACGTTGGCTGGAAGTACAGCGATGTTGTGAAGAAGCTCGAGACGGCTCGCGTGGAGAAGGCAACCCGTCACCACAAGAAGACGGAGAAGCTGCGCGTCGCTTGGAAGGCTGCTCGCAAGGAAGCTCTTGCGAAGGTCTCCAAGAGCAACCTGCAGGTGCTGAAAAAGTTTGGCTACGCGTAAGTTTCCTGGCGGTTTGTCATTGGTCCGGTACTTGTGGTGGAATGGAGTTATGTGATGGTGCATGGAGATGGCCCAGAAACTCACTCAATTCATTTTTATCATTTCCCTCAACCTTGTTTTTATTTATTTCCACACTCCTAAACAAATATATACAATGGTAATAATCATGGCGGCTGCTTCCGTGCCGGCCTCAGCTGTGCTGGTAGGGTGACTCGTTTGCAGTACAAAATTCGTTGCGGTCACCCCCAGTCAGGGACTGCAGCGAAGACGCTTCTTTCCTTTTTCTCTCGCCTCCCTTCTTTGCTTTTACCCCTTGGGTGAGTAGTGATTTACCTTTGGCCGGTTGCTTGGAAGGAACAGAAAGGGACTTGCTATACCTCTGCTCCATCTACAGCGAATAAAGCGGCAGGAGACAAAAGGATAAAAGGGAATTGGTAAAGGTGCAAAGAAGCACGCCGTATGTCCACTAACGCTGGCCCGTCGCCTGGAGGCAATGGCGAGGAGGAAATAAAGTCGAGGCGCATATTGTCATTGGAGGAGTACCGAGTCTATTACGAGAGACAACAGAGGCAGCTATACCAGATGCACCGCGAAGCCAACGCATTTCAGAATGACGTGGGTGCGAGCTCCCCCGCTGCTGCTGCTTCTGCTGCCTCGGTTCGGGAGCGGTGGGAGCAGGCTCAGCAACCCGATCAACAGCAGCAGCGTGCCGAAGCCGTTGTTAACATCTGGGAAAGGATTGAGTTGCGTCCTGCCGATATTCTAAACGCTGTGCAATTTTTGGGGCGGGTACTTGTGGCAACCTTCCTTTTATTCAGAGAGCTGTCCCTCTATTACTTCTTTTTGATGCTTCTCTTTTATATGGTGTTTCTCGCCGTGCAGCGTGCGTTTGCGTCGATCCGAATAGAGCGTGGGCACAGAACCGGTGCGCGGAATTCCCCCCAGACAGCGGCACCATCTGGAGTCCACCCCCATCGCCGCCAGCGCGTCTCCTTGCCTCGGAAGGTGCTGTATGTATTCATCCGCTGCATCGCGTCTTTTCTTCTAAGTTTTTCGCCAACGTACTCGGTAGAACAGTTGGAGGCGGAGTTACAGGAGGACGGCATTGTTGGTTTGCACCTCCACCAGGACTGACCCGCTGAGAGAGCAGTTGGTGGTGCTGTCAGCCACGCAAGTAGGCGGTCCTATGTGGGTGTATCGCATTTTCTCTTTGCCTTGTCTTTACAAGGCACGGTAAAAAATAACAAGGCAAAGAGAAAATGTTGGTTCACTTTCTTTTTTTTTTTTTTTATTTCCATATCGCAGAGACGCAGAGCGGAATATATATATATATATATTGCAGATGCCTGGACACGTGACGGTTGGAGAAGATTTGTGCCTGGGGTCCATATCAGTTTGCCTTCTTTTTTTTTTTCCTTTTTGTGTGTGTGGAGGCGAACCCAGCCATCATTTCCTCCCCACCACCACCACCTATTTTGTTCTCCCTCCGTCTGTGGGATGCGACGCAGAGGGATTGCTGTGCGGCACACACACACACACACACACACACACAATACATCAGCCACACCGCGCCGAAGGAGAAGAGCGGGGAAAGAGTAAAAGGATAAAGGACAGAAAAGGTCGTTGCCAGCATTGCATAGACTCAAAAAGTGGGACGAAAAAAAAAAACAGCACCACCAACAACAACAGAGTAATACGACTCAGAAGCAATGGGACTCGGGTTACAAACAGAATTTACTTTTTTCCATCTTCTTCTCTCCTTCATTGTCGGCACAATGGCTCTCATTTTCTTTCACTTGTTTCTGCGTACAAGGCAGCACCTTGTTGAACTGGCGCCCAAGTCCGTCTTTATCCCACGCGGCTATACACTAGAAGAGCTGAGCGAGTACGATGGAGTCAAGAAGCCTCTAGCTTTTGTCAGCGTGCGGGGAGTTATTTACAGCTGCTCCATGGAGATGTACGGCGTCAATGCACCATACAATGCCTTTGCAGGCCGTGACAGCTCGCGGCATTTGGGAAAGGTGAAGGTAGGGCGGGAGGAGTCCAACGCGGACTGGACGACGCTCTCGGACGCTCACCTCGCCGCACTGAAAGACTGGGATGAACTTCTGCGCAGCAAATACGTGGCGGTGGGGTGGATCATCCCTTCCAAGGACTTTATCAAACGAGCGGAGGCGTTTGAGCCCTAATTGGTGTTCCTTTTTTGTTTAGTTTTTGTTGTGTGTGTGTGTGCAATTGACCTTTTGTTGTTGTCGTTGTTTTTCTTGTTTTGTTGTGCTGTGTTGGTGACGGTGGTGGTGGCAAATGTGTGAGGCGGCAACGCCCCAAGAGTAAACTGCTCTCTCTCTCTCTCGCTTTGATTTTATTTTTGCTCTCGGTCCTCCGCCGTTTGGGGCTGTAGGCCAAATAAAGAGATATCTTTCCTTACGTTGGGAATGCCTGTCGATGTGATGACGCAGGAGCAGGCAGGCCCCGTCACTTGCAAGCTTGCCAGCGATGTGGGTTCATTGCCAAGCACGGCGGAAAGCTGTGGTGAGTCCTCCTCCAGAGACGATGGCAGTGGCGCCTCACAACTTTGCAAGAGGTGTGTCCATCTTCTCTCTCCCGCTACAAAACAGGGGGGAGGTGAACTGAACCCCACAGCGTACCTGTCAATTGTGCATCGCCTGCAAGAGAAAGTGCATGTACTACAGGAGGCACTGCTGACTTCCAATAAATGCGCGTTTTTGCTGGACTCCCTCGGGCGGCCGGGAGATCCGTCCACGACGGAAGTACCGCTGCAGCAGCCAAGAAACTTTGGAGAAGGAAACGTCACACGGAGGATGCGCAACGAATGGGCGCAGGCTGTGGAAGCGAACAATACCATCACCTCACTACGGCATGTATCATCGCAAATAGATGCAGAGAAGTTTGACGGGTGGATGAGTGAAGTTCCTCTCAACTGCTGGAATAACCGTGACGTCAGCCAGATGGACTCCGTCTACATCAACACCTGGGAAGAAGCAAGTAAGGAGAAGGTTACGACTTCCCTTTTTCACGCAAAACAGGAACGCGTTGGTGGCGCCGCCAACACGTCTGCAAGTCCCTGTGTTGCGGTGGATCCAGTCATCCTTGTGGATATCACCGCAGTGTTGCACAAAGGTGAGCCGCGTCCTCCTGCCGCGATGTGTGGGGAGGATTTTTCGCGTGTTGAAATGGATGCAGGAGGAAAACACCTAGCTGCAGAGAATGTACGGTTGCACGGGGAGGTCGCTGAAATGCAGCGTGCGTTAGAAGTTAGAGACGAGGAGGTGCGACGCCAAAAGGTGGAGCTGGCAGGACTGAACCAAACTGTAAAGCGACTGCAGGAGTGCAACAAGGCGCTGCAGGAGTCCTTTGAGGCCCTGCAGCATCGCTGCGACGATGCAACGAAGATGACGTGTGCCACTGAGTTGAGGTCTAAGGGACTAATCGCGACGATCGCCTCACTTGAAGTGGAGAGCAAACAAAAGAGCACCGACTGCGCAGCGGCCCGACGTGAGGCAGAGGATGCATGGCAGGAGGTACGGCGGCTGGAGTCCGCGCTGCGTGCGTGGGAGGTCAAGGGGCGTGAATTACAACGGCTCCGCCTGTTAATGCGCTTCTCAGAGCTGAAGAAGGACAGTGACAGGCTCAGTGTCGTTGAGGATGAAATGGAGTCTGCCGAGAATGAGCGGGACCGTCTCCGCGAGGAAAATGAACGCTTTCGTGAGCTCCTTTCGGAGTATCGCAAGAAAATGGAGATTGCCGTGACAAACACCGCCGAGCCTGAGCCTTTGACCCCCGCACTGGAGTATCCTCCAACACGCAACTGTGAGGTGCCGCCAAAGTCACAGGCGCCCCAGGCAACTGTGCCGCGGCCGAACACGGCTGATGAGATGCGGGAACCGCAGCGACCGCCTGTTGCATCGGACGCGACTGGGAAAAAGCGCAAGATGTTCGTTCCCCATCCGGGACGTCGCCACTCTTCATTAAGAAGATGGAGGTTGGGTCTTTCGTCATCTTGTTCCGGCAGTAGGAATTGTCAGGAGTTCTTTGGCTGCAGGGGCGACGGTGCCTGTCATCCGCAAGCAGTGAGGAAGTGAACACCATTCTGACACCCCGGCCCCCCGACGGACGCTGTGCCGTTTACCCGAGTCACCACTGCAGCAACAGAAGCATCATCATTGTCCATACAAATGTAGAATGAGGTCTCAAAATATGACGTGGGAGGAGGGTTCACTAACGTGGAGCAGGTTGGACGCAACGATGCAGTGAATTTCTCTTGCATCTGTGATGCTCTGACTTACTCCTTCGCATTGATTTCTCGACTCCCCCTAGATTATACTACACCATTCACCCTTACTTACCTCTTTCTGTGGAATATTTAATTACTGTTTTCTTGCTGTCTTTCCACGGATGCATTATATATATATATATATATATATATATATATATATATTACACGC